TTTCATACAATTAATAAAATGCTTCCCAGAAATTAAATAATATTTTTAAAAACAATTTTAATACAATTTTTGCGGAAGAATTCATTTATTTTCAAAAATATAAAAATTCTTCTCAAAAATTTAATTATTTTCACATATAATTAATAAAATACTTCGCAGAAATTAAATTGTATTTATAAAAATAATTTTAATAAAATTTTTGCGGAAGAATTAAATTATTTTCAACATAAAAATAAAATTCTATGTGTAGGAATTCAATTATTTTCAATACAATTTTTAATATAATTTGTCGAAAAATATTTCAATTATTTTTAATAGAATTTTAATTAAATTACTCGAAAGAATTTAATTTTTTTTCAAAAATTTTCATAAAATTCTTCGAATGAATTCAATTATTGTCGACAATTTTAATAAAAGTTTTCACAAAAATCAATTATTTTCATAAAGAAAAAAAATCTTCGCAAGATTGAAAATTATTTTCAATACAATTAGATTGAAATTCCTAGAGAGAATTACATTATTTTTAAATATTTTAATAGAACTTGTAAAAAGAATTCAATTATTTTCAAAAATTTTTTACACAATTCTTTATAATAATTATACAATTATAATTAAATTGTTGCTAAGAATTCAATTAGTTTGAAAATATTTATAAAATTCTTTTGAATAATTTAATTAGTTTCAGTAGAATTTTTATTAAATTCCTTGATAGAATTAAATTATGTTCAAACATTTTTAATAAGTACTATTTATTAAAACAATTTAATTTTTTTTCAATTTTAATAAAATTCTTCGCAACAATTTATTTATTTTCATAATTAATAAAATGTTTGGCAGAAATTAAATTATCTATAATTTTAAAAACAATTTTAATAAAATTTTTGAAGAATTAAATTATTTTCATAAAAATAAAATGCTTTGTATAGAAATTCAATTATTTTCAATACAATTTTTAATAAAATTAGTTGAAAAATTTTTCAATTATTTTTAATAGAATTTTAATTAAATTCCTCGAAAGAATTTAATTGTTTTCAAAAATTTTAATAAAATTCTTCGAATGAATTCAATTATTGACGACAATTTTAATAAAATTCTTTGCAAGAATTCAATTATTTTCAAAATAAAAAAAAATTCTTCACAAAAATTCAATTATTCTCCTAACTACTTAATAAAATGATTCGCAAGATTGAAAATTATTTTCAATACAATTTGATTGAAATTCTTAGAAAGAATTACATTATTTTTAAATATTTTAATAGAATTTGTAAATAGAATTCAATTACATGTTTTCAAAAATTTTGATATAATTCTTTATAAGAATTATACAATTTCAATTAAATTGTTGCTAAGGATTCAATTAGTTTGAAAATTTTGATAAAATTCTTTAGAATAATTCAACTAGTTACAGTACAATTTTAATTAAATTCCTTGATAGAATTACATTGTTTTCAAATAGTTTTAATAATATTCATTCAAACAATTCAATTTTTAAAAATTTTAATAAAATTCTATACAAGATTTAAATTATTTCAGATTCGAAATAATAAAAGTTAAAAAAAATGAGGATAACATTTTTTCATTAACAAAAATGCAATCTTTTATAAGATGAAATATTTATTTGAATCAAATAATTTTTATTTGAGTCAATTAAATGGTTCAATTAATATTTTATTCAAATATTGAAATTATTTGTTCAAAAATAATTTAATTGACTTAAATAAAAATTATTTGATTCAAATAAATATTTAACCTGATTTTATTCAAATCAATTTTTTTTCAGTGTATATTTTCAATTTTTTATACGAATTTAAAGTTACTTTTCTATTTTTATTTTTATCCGTAATTAAGAGGAATAATTTAACCTAAAGTTCTATTAATAACGATAAGTATATAAGATTAAGAATAATACAACGTGTTATATACATCAAAAGGTTAAATATAAAGGTCCAGATAAAGAGAAATGCAAGTTAAATTTAAATTTTTGACTGCATTAAATTCAGGTTATACGAGATGGATAAATAAATTTTATAACAGGAGATTAAATTATAAAATTAATTTCTGCATAATTGAGGAGATGTTTCATATATTATATTTACATTCTCTATAATTATAATAAAAGTAAAATAATTATTATTGTTGTTGTTATAAAATTAATTAAATTTTGAGAGAAATGAATTTATCATTGTTGAAATATTATAATTTCATTTCAACAGGGTACTTTGTTCAATTGTATTTAATGTAGTTTAAAATCGAAAAACATATTTTAAATTGCCCTATACGTAAAGTTTTAAATCTTTTTAAAGTGCCAATTTCTGCCTACACTCTTAAGAGTAAATTGCAGATCATAATTATATTCAAGTAGTCTTCGACCTAATTAATAAATTAATTAATTAATTCAAGGACAATGGCGAGGCTATATATGAAACTGAAAATTGTCAACAGAAGATCCTTGCGGCAATTAGAATTCAGTTTAATTAAATTCATTTTAAAATTATACCTTTTCTTTTAATATCAAGAGAAGGAAAAATTATCGTATTGTATAACTGATAAGTAATAATAAATTATTTTTATTATTATAAATAATGGTATGATAATTTAGTAAAATAAGAAATCAAAAATAATAATAATAATAAAAACAATCTTTAATGATTTTACAGTTAAAATTTATTTATCCATATGTAATTCATAATCAACATACAAACGATCAAAACCGATTTCAAATATTTATATTCGAGAATAACTGTTTTAAAAGTCGTTATGATTTATAATTTTCTTAGAAAGATTTTAATGAAAAACGTTGCAATTTTCAGAAATAATTGAATTTCAGAAAATTTTAAACTAAAATTTTTGAAAATTTCAATTTCTGTGAAGAAATCAATGATATTTAAAGTCCCTGAAGTTGTTAAAAACTTGAATTTTCAAATTAACGTAAAATAATTAAATAACTGGTAATAAACAAGTAATTAAAGACTTTTTAAATATTTTAAAGCAATTAACTTTTTTAAGAATATTATTGAGTTTTTTTTAAATAATTGAATTTTTTATGAATTTTATTCAAATTTTTGAAAATAATTAAATTTTTAAAAAATTGTATTGACTTTTTTGAAAAATATATTAATTTCTTAAGAATTTAATTTAAATTCTTATAAATATAATTTTTAAAAAATATTTTTGAAATCTTTCAAAGCAATTATTGACTTCTTTGAAAATAATCAAATTTTTAAAGAATTTTGTTTAACATTTTTGAAAATATTTTTAATTTCTTAAGAACTTAACTAAAATTTTGGAAAATAATCTAATTTTTAAAGAATTTTTATGAAAATTTGGAATGTAATCAAATTTTTTAAGAATTTTATTGTAATTTTTAAAAAATTTTATTAAAATTTTTGAAAATAATCAAATTTTTAAAGAATTTTTTTGACATTTTTAAAAATGATTTAATTTCTTAAGAATTTTACTGAAATTTTGGAAAATAATCTAATTTTTAAAGAATTTCATTGATATTTTTGAAAATAATTTAATTTATTAAGAATTTTCTGAATATTTTGAAAATAATCTAATTTTTGAAGAATTGTCATGAAATTTTTGAATCTAATCTAATTTTTTAAGAATTTTATTGTAATTTTTGAAAATAGTCAAATTTTTAATGAATTTTATTGACATTGTTAAAAATAATTGAATTTTAAAACAAAATTTATGATATTTTTGAAAATAATTGAATTTTTAATGAATATCTATGAAATTTTTGCAAATAATTGAATTTTTAAAGAATATTTTTGAAAACAATTTAATTTCTTAAAAATTTAACTAAAATTTTTGAAAATAATCTAATTTTTAAAAAAATTTATGAAATTTTTGAAAATAATTGATTTTTTAAAGAATATTTTTGAAATTTTTAAAAACAATGAACTTTTGTTAAAAATAATTGAATTTTTAAAGTTTTTTTTTTAAATTTTCCGAATGTAAATGAATTTTTTAGAAATTTTTAAAAAGTTTTCTTGGATTTTCTTTAATAATTATTTTTAAAGAAAATTCAAGAAAACTTTTTAGAAATTAATTATCAGGGAAATAGAAATCTAAATTTTTGTGGCAACTGTGGCTTATGTTAATTAACTAGACAAAAATAGCAACAATGATATTGAAATAAATAAATGTTTGAAAAAGTTGATCAAAAAATATCATCAAATACCGTTTTCTGTGCCAGTGAAAAAATATGTTTCTAAATTTCTCCCCTCCAAAATTATAGGGTGACTATATATACTTATTAGATTATAAGTTACAGAAGGTTATATTGCTCTTTATCATCCAAGATTATAAGTTGAAGTTTGTATTTTTGGTTCAAGATGTTTAAAAGTCATTATCTTGAAGGAGTTAAAGTTATCTTCTATTAGAGAGCTTAAAGTGTATGAAGTTTAGGTTCTTTTCAGGTATCCAAAGTTTCTTGATTAATTCACTCTGAAGTAGGGCACTTTGTACAAGCTTTTCCGGATTTATAGACTCTTGTTGGTTCTTGAAATTTATTATTGTTATTATAGTTTGGAAGATATCATAGTCTTCATTTAGATCCATATACTTCCGGCTTTATCGAGAGAGATTATATTTTTGATTTCCTCTCAAAACATTGTATCAAAAATATTCTATAATACTCATCATCACTTTCTGATTGCGTGCTATATAACAAACAAAAATTGGATTAAAATAAGCTGCTTATTATTTTAATCCAATTTCAATTTTATACGTGAAATATATAACAAGTTTGTTTTCATCTAATTTTATATTAAAGCAAGAGTGTTGAACTTAATTTAATCTGGAAAAAAAACTTTAATTTAATCCTACAAAGTTTGTTCTGGGGAAAGTTATATTCTTCTTCTTTTTTTTTTTTAGAAACAAAAGTGAAAGATTGGAAAAAATGTTTGTAATAAAAATAGTGGGGATTAGATTTTGTTGAAATTTCTCTCATAAATATATATTAATGCAATTTGGGTTTTTTTTTCTTTCAGGATCTCCTGCAGATAATGCAGACAGTTTAGAGGTGGGTGACGAGATCCTTGAGGTCAACGGACGAACCCTCGAAAATGCGACTCATTCCGAGGTTATTCAATATATTCATCAGGTAATTGGCAATCTTACATTATTTTTAGATTTTTATTTTTAAAAATGTGATGAAAGTTAAAAATGTAATTTGTTTCTGTATGAGTATATGATTTTCGTAGTGAAAAATTAGTCGTTAATTTATGTTAATCAGGATTTTTACTGTTACAGGGCCTATAAAAGTCATTTTGTTAGAATTTTCATTAGAGAGAATTTTCTTTATGCAAAATTTTTTTAATTTAATGTCATTATGCAAATTTCATATTTTTTAATTTCAAATATTAAAGACTTTAATTTTTGACTGATTTCAGAATCGAAATTTAAAATAATTCACTTATTAACAAATTTGCTTTTATTATGTATTATTTATTATTTTTTAAAACATTAATACAATTCTTTGAAACAATTTAATTACTTTCAAAAATTTTAATAAAACTTAAACGATCAAAACTTGAGGAACATGATAAGTTTCTGTAAAAAAGAAATAATATATTTATTATAATTTATTTTTTATTGACTTTCTTTATTGAACAATTTTTTTTCTTTATATTAACAATCGATAGCCTGTAGTTTTAACAAAATTCTTTGTGCACGCGGAAATTTATTACACTTATTATTTTTCGAAGAGTTCCATTCCTAAGTTGTGAGTTTGTCTGAAGCTATAGCATCACGACATGTTTTTGACATGATTTACACAGCACAAAAGTTTCTTCTTGTGGCATAATTTAGCTCTAAATTATAGCATATACGTTTATCTCAACTTGCCAATGGGGTAGTTTCAGGTTCAGGAACCTAAATTTCTAGTTAGGAAATTTTTATTTTTACTAATTTTTGTATTTTATTTAATTTTACTTGTAATTGGTTATAAAATTGTTTATAATTGCAGGGCTCGAATTGTACAACTTTTTCGACTTTTTTCGACTTTTCTAAGAAAATGTGACTTTTTTCGACCTTTTTTTGTAAAAAATGCGATTAATCGACTTTTTTGAGATTTTTTTTTAGTAAAATGCGACTAATCAACTTTTTCAAATTTTTCAATTACTTTTCGACTTAAATTGTAAATGGCAGAAATCTTTTTTTGTAAACAATATTGTTCACAAAATTATTCTTCTCTTTGGGGAAATAAACATAACATATTATCCCGTTTCTTAATATTTTTATAGGAAATTCTCAATTTTCATAAGGAAATAATTTGCATCATTTCTATTTCTTAATTACAATTGCTTTAATAAAATTTCAAGTTTTTTAAAAATTAATGAAAAAAATTGTTTATAAATTCTATTTGTCAATTAGAAATTGAAACTTTTACAGTTTTTAGAAAATTAAAGGAAAAATTTTTAGTAAAAAAATGATCTGTTATATTTATTTACAAATTTCTTTCAAATTTTTCGAAAACATCAATAATTTCTTTTTTAAATAAATATTTAATTATTATTTTTTCATTGGAAATAAAATTCTTCAAAAGATTCAAACTCAAACCTTTTTGAAATTGAACAACTTAGAAAAAATTTTTATAAAACATGAAGAAATCGATCACTCCGAGTCTTCGACTCGGAGCAATCGATGTCTTCATGTTTTATAATAATTAAAGATGACCCAGTGATAAAATCATTATTTTATATTATAAGACTTTATAAAAAAAAAAATTTTAATTACATTTTATGAAAATAATTGAATTATTGAGAAGAAATTTATAAAACATTAGTAAGTAATTGAATTTTGCAGAAGAATTTTGATATTTACAAAGATAATTGAAATTTTAAAGGGGAATTTAAAAAAAAATTTTGAAAATAATTGAATTTCTGCGAAGAATTTTCTTACTTTTGAAGATAATTGAATTTTGCAAAGAATTTTATCAGAACTTTTGAAAATAATTAAATTTCCATGATAAATTTTATTATTTATGAAGATAAATAAAATTTTGACGAAAAATTTAAAAACAATTTTGAAAATAATAGAATTTCTAGGATGAATTTTTTTATTTATAAAGATAATTGAAATTTTGACAATAATTTTATTATTATTTTTACAAATAATTAACTTTCAGAGAAGAATTTTATTATTTATAAAGATAATTGAAATTTTGACAATAATTTTATTATTATTTTTACAAATAATTAACTTTCAGAGAAGAATTTTATTATTTATAAAGATAATTGAAATTTTGAACAGATTTTTTTAAAAATGTTGAAAAGTAATTGAATTTTGCTAAGAATTTTATCAGAACTTTTGAAAATAATTAAATTTCCATGATAAATTTTGTTATTTATGAAGATAATGATAATTTTGACGAGAAATTGAAAAAAAAATTTGAAAATAATTGAATTTCTAGGATGAATTTTATTATTTATAAAAATAATTAAAATTTTGCCAAGAATTTTATTAAAATTCTTTGCAAATAATTGAATTTCAGAGAAGAATTTTATTATTCATAAAGATGAATTGAAATTTTGATCAGATTTTTTTAAAAATGTTTAAAAGTAATTGAATTTTGTAGAAGAATTTTGATATTTGTAAAGATAATTGAAATTTTGAACAGATTTTTTTAAAAATGTTTAAAAGTAATTGAATTTTGCAGAAGAATTTTGATACAGTGGAACCTCGATTATCCGAACCGAAAATCATTTTATCCGAACTTCTATTATCCGAACTTTTTTTTTACCTCCCGAATCTTTCAAAGGAAAATAACGATAATTATGCCAAAAAAATCTTAAAACATTCTGAATTCTATGTTTTATTAATATATTATTATAAATTAATATATATTTACGTATATATACTTATGTATATTTAAAAAATGGATTAAATGAAATATATATAATTCAACTGTCGATTTTTTTACTTTAATTATATTAAAAAATTAAAATCTCTATTATCCGAACTTTCGATTATCCGAACCCGGCCTTGCCTAGGTTAGTTCGGATAATCGAGATTCCACTGTATTTATAAAGATAATTGAAATTTTGAGGAGAATTAAAAAAAAAATTTTGAAAATAATTGAATTTCTGCGAAGAATTTTCTTACTTTTGAAGATAATTGAATTTTGCAATGAATTTTATCAGAACTTTTGAAAATAATTAATTTTCCATGATGAATTTTTTTATTTATAAAATATTGACGAGAAATTTTAAAAAAATTTTGAATATAATAGAATTTCTGCAAAGAATTTTATTATATGAAAATAATTGAATTTAAGAGAAGAATTTTATTATTTGTAAAGATAATTGATATTTTGATAATAATTTTATTAAATAATTGAATTTCGGAGAAGAATTTTATTATTTATAAAAATAATTTACATTTTAAAGAGAATTTTTTAAAAAATGTTAAAAATACCTAATTAAAATTTTGCTATGAATTTTATTAAATTTTATTCCTGATTGTCTGATTTTAAAGTATGTGTTGTGGAGAAATGTGATTTTTTTACAATTTTGGCAATTTCTTGTTTCCTTTTTGTCGTTTTTTCTAAAATTTGATGCGACTTTTCGTGACTTTTGTTGTGAATTTATACGACTAAAGTGACTTTTTTTGAGTCTTAAAGACGATCCGAGCCCTGCGTACGAAATTTTAGGGACTTATTTTTGTATAGCTATTGTAGGTCAACCTTTTTTTCCGTACCATTTATAAATTACAATTTCTCTAACTATATATATTTTGTTAAACAGAGGAAAAAACTAATAAAATGTTTTTTTCCATTTTCCAGTGCATAAAATCCAGAACAATATGCCTTCGAGTAAGAAGAAAAAAAAGTGGCAACAAGATGGGTAAGTTGTATTCTCTAGACTCTGTAATACTTTAGGGCATTTACATATGTCTCTTTCTCTAAATTAGAGGGATTGAGGAACTTTTACTAGTTCCATTTTCTTCTTTTTGATTAACTAAACCAAAGTATAGTAATTGAAAGCTTTAAAAAGAAAAAATTCGACCAAGTCGACTATATAATTTTCATCAAAATGCCAGGAACTCTTCTTTAAAAATTCTTTTTCAAACCACTTCTCCTATAATCTTTATAAGATTATACGAAAACGATTTTAATATAATTGAATTATTGTAATTTAATTTATGTTTTTATCAAAATATCGGAAATAATGGTGGTTTTTCTACAAAAAAAAGGGAATCTGCGGGTAAAATTTATAAGGTAAGAAGTTATACCGCAGAATTTCCTTCAAAAGCTTAAAGTTGAAATCACTTTGAAGATTTAATGGAATTAAATTAATTTTCCGTGAAACAAATCTCTTCTCAAGATATGGAAGGAATTCCTTTGATATAGTAAACAACATTATTTTTGTGGCGTCATCTTAATCGTGAAGTTTCATTTTTTTTGTTACGTTTTATCAAACTAGACGAATTTTTTTTTTTAAATTAAAAAGTTTATAGGAATGGTTTCTTTTTATTGGGAAATAAAATCGCGGATTATTATCAATTGAGAAAAAGGGTTTAAGAGAAAGATTTAATGAGAAAAAGTTTTATGTTAGAAACTGTAACGAAATATTGTTTTTCAAATATCTGAGGAATTATTTCAATTTTTTAAATTCCGTGCGTAATCGTATGGATATACAATAATTTTTACGGTTCATAAAAAATAATTTCTTTCTTAAAAAGTATTAATTAAAAATTTTTTTTTCCTCTGTGAAAAATTAACTGATTCAATATTTTTAATGTTTTGAACTTTAAAATCAACGATGAAATTTTTATTGCTTAGTTTTATTGACAGCTATTTTTGTTAGAATTTTTTTTATGTAATTAAATTTTTAAAAAGTTTAATAAAAGTTCTCGAAATATTTCAATTATTTCAAATTTAGTTGTAAAATTCTCCAAAACAAATCAATTATTTTAATTATTATTATTATTAATAATTAATTAAATTTTTTTTTAATTTAATTTTTTTTTTATTATTAATTATTATTATTATTATTATTATTATTATTGTTATAATAATTTTAATTTTTATAAAATTTGGTCATTATATTTTTTTTAATTCTTTTTAATACAATTGAAATTAAATTTCTCGAAAGAATCTACTTATTTTCAAAAATTTTAATAAGAAATTGAATTATTTTCTAAAAATTTTAATAAAAATCTTCACAGGAATTCAATTATTTAAAAAAATTCTTATAGAATTCGTTGCAAGAATTCAATTATTTTCATAAAATAAAAATTTATTACAGGAATTCAATTGTTTTCAATATCTTCTGTTTTAATAAAAGTTTTCGAAATAATTGAATTATTTAAATTTTGTTTATAAAATTCTTTAAAAAATCAATTTTTCTTAATAGTTTTCATAAAAATCTCTTATAAGAATTCGATTATTTTTAATGCAATTAAAATTAAATTTTTTGAAAAAACCAATTTTTTAAAAATTTTAATAAAAAAATACCATTATTCCCGAAAAATTTTTCGCAGGAATTAAATTATTTTTTATGAATAACAAATTTTTTCACATTCAATTATTTTCATAAAATAAAAAATTCTTCGCAGGTTTTCAATAATTTTTAATACAATTTTACATAAATTCATTGAAAAATGCAATTATTCTAAAAAAATTTTATTAATATTCTTAGAAAATACTCAATTATTTCCTAAAATTTTGATAAAATTCTTTTAATAAGAATTCAATTTTAAAAAATAATTAATTATTCTATCAATTATTTATTTTTGCATTAAAATAATAGGTTTATTAATAAAATTTTAAATTCTCGTAGAATTTTTTAATACAAATTACTTTAAAAAAGAAATTCAATTACAATTTTATATAAAAATTGAATATTAACAATGATATAGAAGGAATTTGTAGAAATAATTAAATTTAAAAATATTTTAAAATGTAAATGTTTGAAAATTTGATCTGTTGTAAAACTGTAATTATAATGTTTAAAAATTTATTATTTTCCCAAAAAATTATTGAAGTATTGAATAATTTTATGTAAGAATTGAAACAAAATTGAATTTTAGAAAAATTACAGTTGTAATATTTTAGAAATAGTTAAATTTCCAAAATTTTGAAGTAATTGAATTATTTCGATAACTTTAATTAAAATATAAGATATTGAAAATAATTGAAAAGCGTTAAAAATATTTTAATTTCTGTAAAATAATAATGAAGTATTTAAATATTTATTTTAAAAAAATTATTTAAGTTGTGAATTTGAATGTAATTAAATTTAGAAATTAGGAAAAAAATAGTCTTTTTAAATTTTATTGTAATTAAAATTATTCTAGATAAATCAAATTTTTACAAATAATTTCTAAATTAATTAAATGAAATTGGTAATTAATTGTAAATTTTATTAAATTTAATGGAAATAAATTGTTTATTCCTATCTAATTCAAATTTAGAGAGTAATTTTTAGTATGTAATTATTCACTAAAACTTTAGCAAATAATTTAAAACTTTTAATTTATTGAAACTATATTGAAATTTTACTAAACATTAGTGAAAATTTGTATTTTCTTTAAAAATTAAAAATTTGACTATGTAATTTATTTGACTTCAATTAATTTAACTTTAAAACTTTTGCAAAAAGTTTTAAACTAATATTTCATGACATTAGTGAAATTTTACTAAAAATTAGTTAAAATTTTTATTTAGTTTGATCTTTAAAAATTTAACTTTAATTAATTTAACTTTAAAACTTTTGCAAAAAATTTTAAACTAATATTTCATTAAATTAGTGAAATTTTACTAAAAATTAGTTAAAATTTTTATTTAGTTTGATCTTTAAAAATTTAACTTTAATTAATTTAACTTTAAAACTTTTGCAAAAAATTTTAAACTAATATTTCATGAAATTAGTGAAATTTTACTAAAAATTGGTTAACATTTTTACTTAGTTTTATCTTTAAAAATTTAACTTGAATTGGTTTAACTTTAATTATTTTAACTTTAATTAATTTATCTTTAAAACTTTTGCAAAAAATTTTAAACTAATATTTCATAAAATAAGTTAAAATTTTTACTTAGTTTTATCTTTAAAAATTTAACTTTAAAACTATTGCAAAAAATGTTAAACTAATATTTCATTAAATTAGTGAAATTATACTAAAAATTAGTGAAAATTTTTACTAGTTTGAATTAGGGAACTATACTTTTTAGTTTTAACTAATTGAAAGTTCTCGAGAATTGGTTCTCAGTACATTGTCACTGATTGACAGTAAAAATTCGTTGATTTAAATTTAGAGTATTTCATAGTACATCCCAAAAGAAAGTCATACTTTCATATTCAGAGAAAAATTATGATCAGTTTTCTAATATCAAAAATTTAGTCAATATTTGGATTCATGTAAGTTGCTTTAGTCAAACTCATGCTTGAAACAAGACTTATTTTTTACAGTGTTAAATTAGGTGGAAAAATTCATTATTTTAACTATTTCTCACATATATATTCAAACAGTATAGGTAGTCGAATTTTTAGAACAAATTTTTTTAGTGAACATGGTTCACTCTAGAGATAAGAGGATCACTGTAAAAAGAAAGGTACTAATTTAGTACCAATTTTGGGTACTAAATCGTCATTTGGTTCTACATATTTTAATACCGACAATCAGCTCTAATTTAGAACATTTTATTTACAGTGATATTATAGAAGAGAATTTTTCCTCTTGATACGAAATTACTTTTCTCTAGCTGTAGATTTTAATGTCACAAAGTGAAAAAGTTTAATGTACTTTAAGACACAAGCGATTTTTCACTGATTGCAAAAATTGAGTATTCACACATATACATCATATATAATTACGGACATTACTGTATATTTATATCTATAAGAGAATTGTTTCTTCAGAATGTTTTGCTCTGGAATACTTATTTTCAAACGCACACAGTTCTTTTTGAAACTTATGGAATCCGTTATGAATGTTATGATAAATATGTAAAACGCATATCTATATGTATGTACGTATATATACAATAATTCCAAGTGTAAAAGCACCTTCACTCGTGGCAACTCGTGGTCACTCATGAAACTGCTTAAAACTCTTCAACTTATATACATTCGAACTAAAGAGCGCCGTTTCCTCGGTAAATTCCGACATAATTCGTGTCCCTTCGACAATTCAGGTTCGCCAGGTAAATACCCCAGGTGAGCAGGAGTAGGAGACGGTGTGGTCTCCGCGAGAGGAGGCAAACGAGAATGCAACCTTCGAATCTACCTGGTGGTACCTACAACCGGTAGTGTGGAATTGTCGATCGTGCTAGTCACCGCGTTAAACCGGGTACCACCTCATCATCATCATATATTTATCACTCGAAAATTAACCGGGAGAATTCCTCAAAGAAAAAGTTGAGGAAAAAAAGAAATTATTATATACGAGAGAAACATTTTTCCACCTAGCTAGACATCGTCAGCTGAGTTCGTTCATGCGTGTAGTCACCAGGTGGGAGTGAAAGTCAGCCTTTTGAAACACAAGCAAACACAAGCAAACACAAGGGACCATCGGGAGAGGAACCCACACGAGTTCACAATCACGTATCACCTACGTGGTATTATAGTAGTAACCGAAGCACCGTAATCGTGTTGTGGTCCCTCTTTTTCCCGAAGAGATGATCTCCACTGGCCAGCTTCTTCTTCTTCTTCGTCTTCTCCTTCGTCTTCTTGGATTATCTTCTTCTCTCCCAGCTTGAGATCAACAACCTGCTTGAAAAGGATTCATGTTTGAAAAATAATAAAATTCAAACACACCGTGTATTTTTATTCTCAAATGTGACAGTTTTCTGCTTTCATCTCATGGGAGTAGATTTTGGAAGAAGAGTTGAGTTCAGTTGACA